GTAAAAGCTTCATACAGTACTTGACACACAGTCTTCCTGGTAAGAAAAACTTGTCAGATGCCACTACTGGCTCACAAGGTATCCAAAGCCTAGGGAAAGCAGGGCAGGGCAGGGCAGGGCAGGGGATGCTGGTTGAGAAATGCAACTTTCAGGATTAAAAACTGAGAAGTGCTAAAGTGACTTCCTTTTATTATCTTGAAATAGGCTCACCAACAGGAAAACTTATTTGGCTTTGTAACCTCCTCATGCTTTTGTATTTGAATTTATCTTCCAATTTATTTCCCCATAGTGATGAAAAGTAAAAGCCCAGTGATTAACAGTAACAATCCTTCACACAGAAAAGTGGAAAAGCACAGATCATCTGAAACCTATTCTTGAGCCCTCAGGTCAAGAACTCAAGTTTTTCTTCCTATTGTTGGGGCTGGCGATGGGGTTTGGAAGTTGAAACTTCTTTTCAGGGCCTATAAAGAGAGCTCCCTTCAATCAAGCCAGGTAGGTCTACCTTTCTTGCTTTGTCTTCAATCCTAAATTTAGGGCTAAAGCAAATACAGCAAGAACTTGCACATCTCTAAACATTTGCTTATGGAATTCTTTTCCACTCCATCGCTACCTGACGCCCTTCCTATCAAAGCCCAAGTAAAACATTACAATCTCAGAAGCTTTTTCTAACACCCGACTCTCTCTAACAAATTGAACCCCTCTTCTATAGGCCTGTTCATACCTACTTTCTCACATTGTTATGGAGTTTTTCTCTCTAGCTTCATTGTCATTGTCTTCTCCTCCTTTAACAAGGAAAGTTTTATCATCAATATTCGAGATTGTGCATGACACAAAAGTGCAGTTGAGTGGGTTCTGACCCATAGCGATCCTGTCTAGGGTTTTCATGGAGCGGCTGGCGTTTAAACTGCCCACCTTGCAGTTCAAACCGACCTTGTGTTCGAGTGCTTATTTTACAGCGCGACGCGGGGACTCCAGTAGGTGCTCACAATGGACACTTAATTAGATTTTTTGGTATCATCTCGTTTTCCTTTTCGTTACTAGCAAGTTTACTACAGGTATGGAGAAACTTAACACGCAAAGGAGAAAGCTGAGCGATCAAAGTCTTGCTTATGGTAGAATTCAGCCTGAGATTAAATGAGGTTGAGATTAGGTTTTGAGAGTTAGATGGAAGGATTTATATAGCTCCCGGGGAAGCCGAATGAGTAAGTCTAACGCAAGAAGATGTAAGTCACGGTCAGAGTGAAGGAAACGGCGCACGGTATGCTGGAATCCACACGCGACGACGCACAGTATGCCGGGACTTGTAGTCCAGCCCAGTGCCTAGCACCTTACGCCAGTTCCATGCTGCTACACTCAGCCACGTCCTACTACAGATAAGGTGGAGTCTTCGGTTATCTAGCACAGAACGGCAAGGTTCACCAAAGCAAGCCTACTTTTAAGACAAGCACTTTTCACAGCAAACCTCATTTTGGCGTGGGGTACTAGGAAAGACGCACTGGGAGCGGTTGCGCCTGCTCAACTCTTGCGTCCCTGCGTGCGCGCACAGCGGCCCCCGGCCCCGGAAGAGGCGTCGCTGCGCGCGTCCCCGCGAGGCCTCCTAGAGCCGGGTGGCGCAGGCGCAGTGTCCCCGGGCCAAAATGGCGGCGCGGTGTTCCTCACGCTGGTTTCTGGTGGCTGTGGGGACCCCTCGGCTGCCGGCTGCAGCGGGGAGAGGGGTTCGGCCGCCCAGGGAGGGTGTAGTGGAGGCGTCGCTGAGTCGCAAACTGAGCGTCACCGCCTTCGTACCTCCTCTGGGAGCTCGAGGCCCAGGGACGCTGCTGACATTGAGACCCGGTGTCAGCCTTACAGGTGAGGATAGGCACCCGCGCCGAGAAGGGGTTCCAGGGTCTGGAATGGAGACTCGGTTCGTACCGGCTATGAAGGGAGCAGGGTGGAAGGGTGTCTTTCGATCTGGGTACAGAATTGATGGGGAGAAGGCAAGCAGGTGGCAGACTGGCCCATGTGGTCAGCTCGGCGGTGGAGGGAGGGAGAACAGTATGGGGCCCCCACCGGAGGCGGCGGAACGCCCTTGAGGTCATGAACCTTCACCTCTACCAACATTTCTGCAAGCCGTTTTGAGAAACCTGCGGCTGCTCCCTTGCACGAGTCAGCTCCCACGCCTCCACTTTGGAACCTGCAGCCACCGGGGAGAGGTAGTGGCCGTCTGGTGAACACCTGATCCACATAACCACCCTGCAAGAAACGGATCGTCATCCCGTTTTACGGAACGAGAAACTGGTGCTCAGAGGCTCAGTGACCTGCCCAAGGTCAAAAAGTTGGATCAGAGGAGTTGCCCCAAACCCTGAACTGTCATTTCATTGCACATGCATACCCACCGTGTCGTACTGTAAACCAAAGGGCACTTTTGACAGTCTTTTGATACCAGTCCTAAGATAACGCACTGCTGTCGAGTTGGTTGCCACAATTTGACATTCCTTGAACACATCCTGTGTATGAGAGACATACACCTCCTTACATGAGTTTCCATGTGACAGCTGTTACTCCGTTGGATAGGTAAAGAAACTGAGGTGTAAAGGTGCCTGATAACTTGCCAAAGTTCTTCATACTGAGAAGTGGCAGATTCTTGATTTGAAATAAGCTGCTGTATGTATCTAGCTTGGCTCTGTAGGATAATGACAATTGTTAACTATAAGGTGGGGGCAGTTCCAGCCCACCAGCCGCTTCCTGGGAGAAAGATGAGATTTTTCTGCTTCTGCAAAGGTTTACAACCTCGAAAACCCTTTACAGGGTGCTGAGTTGGAACCCACTGAAGGGCAGTTAACAGCAACAAGTCTGCGTAGCCATGATGTATGCAGGATGACTTCTGTAGAAGAGAAGGGAAGACACCTCAAACAACTAGCTGTGTCCCTCACTTGTGCTAGTTGTTGGAACATTGGTGTCCCTTAAAATTTCTGCAAATGATAATTTGCTACCAACTTATAAAAGGAGACTTGGTGGCGTAATGGTTAAGTACTCTGCAACTAACAAGTGGCGGTGGGTCCATCCTACCCAGTGACTCTGGGAGCAAGGACCTGGCAGTCTGCTCCTGTAAAGGTTATTGTGTGGTTCAGTGCCGTTGAGTCGATTCTGCCTCGGAACGATCTGGTATAGGGTTTCCGAAATCTTCGGTGGGCTCAAATGGCAGACCTTGTGGTTCACAGTCCAGTGCTTATCGTACGGAGCCACCATGCACCCCCCCTCCCCCAAGATTGCAGTGTAGGAAACCCTATGAGACAGCTATCATATGGGGTCACTATGAGTCAAAGGATTAGTAATCGTGATTACTGACTATAGAGTGTGGGCCTTGGGGGTGAACACATGAGCCTGTACCAGCTGGCCTATGTGATTTCATCCCATGAAGCTTCTTTCCTTAACCATCAGAATAGTTTCTTTCACTCACAGATATTTATTGAGGGCCATCAGTTACCAGCTGCTGTTTCGGCACTGGGGGTACAGCAGGGAATGAGGTTGGATGTGGGTTTGGTCAGTGAATCCGTGTTGTAAATTCAGTCCCTGCCATCTCTATTTTCTCATGGCTTAAGCAGTCAATCTGCTCAGGTGGTTGTCTAGCTGTTCCCTAGATTCTATGAAGAGAAGCTTCTGTATTTCTCAGTATCAGCAAAAGGGGCAATTTTTTAGTTTTTGCTAACATTTCCTCTTAACAATGGGAAAGACAGGAGCTGTTATAAATAAAAGTTGGCTGTGTATTATTACTAAAATAATCTTTAGGGAGCTTGCAACTGTTTAAGCTGTTTGTTCATATTCTGTCTTTATAGCATTGGGTAGCATTTTGATATTGGTATGTGTGAGCAGGCCACACACAGAGCCATGCACTGAAACTTCCCCTCTGGTGGTGCTGTAGGGTCAACACTGGGCTAACTTCAAGGCTGGCAGTTCAAACCCATCAGCTACTCTGCAGACCAAAATGAGGTGTTCTGCTCTTGTTAGGACAGCCTCGGAAACCCGATAGGAGGTCCCTGTGAGTTGGAATCACCTTCAGGGCAATAGGTTGTCAGGTTTCTTAAGGAGAGCACTCAGCTCTATCCCCCAGGTGAACCCATAGCTGCTGAGGGCATGGTAGTCACTGGTGATGAACCCATGTGAGAGACAGGGTCCTTCAGGGCCACTCTTGTCTTAACATACCTCAAGTTATCACCTCAGCTCCACACACTGGTCTGTGATCTCAAATGTAGTAATGCAGTTAGAAAATAGAGACGCCAGCCGGGGCCTTCCAGTTGATTCGGACTCGTCGTGATCCTACAGGACAGAGTGGAACTGCTGCTCCGTGGACTTTCCTAGGCAGCTTAACAACAACAACAACAGCAACATGTATTCGGAAGGAGCTCTGGTAGTGTAGTGGGTTCTAAGATGGGCTGCTAACTGCAAGGTCAGCAGTTCGAATCTACTAGCCCTCCTCAGAAATTTGAGGCTTTATTCTCATAAAGATTTATAGCTTCGGAAACCCCATATAAGGTCAATTTAAGTCGGAACCGACTCCCTAGCACATAAACACGACCACCACCAAATCTATTTGGGAGCAGACTGTCTTGTCTTTTGTGCTACAGAATGACTGATGGGTTCAAACCACCAACCTTTCAGTTAGCAACCTAACACTTAACCCTCTGTGCCACCAGAGAGTGTTGGTTTGTCACATAGACAGCACTGTAAAGCCCACTTTTCTCTCAGGGCAAAAAGAAGGCAGTGGTTTGGCCATTCTCAGAACTAGGAGACTAAACCTCTTGTATTGTTTAGTGCTGTTGAATTGCTTCTGACTCTGCAACGCTGTGTAGGGTTTTCAAAAAGTGGCTGATGTGTTTGAACTGCTGACCTGGTAGTTAGCAGTCCAGTGGATAATCCTGTTAGTGGCTCTAACAAAGAAGAGAAATTTACCTGTCATATTTTGAGCCCTGGTGTGGCACTGTAGGATAAGCACTAGGCTGTTAACTACAAGGTTGGCGGTTCAAATCCACCAGCTGCTCCTTGGAAACCCTCTACAGGGTCTCTATGAGTTGGAACTGACTCAACAACACTTAACAACAACAACAACATTTTGAAATAAAGAACCTGTGGTGGCACTGCAGGGTAAGCACTAGACTGCTAACCGGACTGCAAGGTTTGCAGTTCAAACCCATCAGCCTCTCTGCAGGAGAAAGATGAGGCTTTCTGCTCCTGTAAAGATTTATATCCTCGGAAACCCTACACAGGGTCGCTGTGAGTTTCAGATGACTCAACGGCAGTGGGTATCTTGGGGGAAAAGTTGTTAAATGAGCACTTCTCTTTTTTTTTTATTAAGTTTTTATTGTAAATTCAGTGATAGTTTACATGGGGGAGCATCAGTTTTACACTCATCGTTTCATTGCAATGATTACAATCTCCTCCATGCATCCTCCTTCAACAGTATTTGCTTCTAGTCCCTCTTTTTGGGGGAGTGGGGAGGATGTACACAGAAACACTGGAATATGTAATCATTTAAACAAGCCTGCTCCCTGGCCCCCAGCACTTGGCCGCCAGCACACAGCCTTTCAAATGAGCACTTTCTAACTGTTGCTCATTATTGATGCCTTTTGATAATGTCCCACTTGAAACAGTTGAATTTGTCAGTATCTATTTGTAGTTTTGCACATACTGTCTCCCATTTATTCTAACTCAAACCCAAGTTCTCCATTCACTGAATCCTTTTTAGAAGTTCTGAAGTTGACGATTGTATTAATGATGCGATCTAACATTCATTAGTACTTACTGTGTGCCAAGGAGCCCTGGTGGAATAGTGGTTAAAACACTCAGTCACTGACCATTGAAACCACCAGCTGCTTAGTGGGAGAAAGAGTTAGCAGTGTTCTTTCATAAGGGTTACAGCCTTGGAAGCCCCTTGGGACAGTTCTACTCTGAGCTGGAATTGATGAGACAGCAGTGGGTTTGGTTCGGGCTTCTGATTACTGTGTCAGACATATATTATCTCTTTACATCCCATTTCTATCATATGATAGAGTGATGGTGGTGGTGGTGTTAAGTGCTGTTGAGTTGGTTCCGACTCTGTATAGGATTTCCAAAGAGGTTGTGAGTTTGAACCCCTGATCTTGTGGTTAGCAGTCCAGTGCTTATCTTCAAGCTACGGCTGGTAAATGCTTCTCCTGCTATGATTCCATTTTATTGAGGGACTAAGCTGTCGCTGTCAGAACTGTTACCATTAACAGCCTCAACCTTCTGAGATGAGTGCCTGGGCTGGGCTAGGGTCCTCCTACCTGTTGAGTGAAGAGATGGTCTAGTACTAGGAAACTGACTCACGTGTTTTCTCAAATCGGATGAAACAAATGCATTTGTGGTCTCTTCCTGCTTACACTTCCACACCACTCTCGGCCTCTTACACTCGTGGATACTTAGGGTTCAGCCACAGAAGTGAGTGTTGCGGTTCCTGAGAAGAGAGCTGTTGTCTGTTTCTGATCTCTTATCCTTCTGACCATTCTCACTCACTCTTCTGTCTGATTTTCCTCATCCGGCCCCTTTTTGTGTATATAGGAATCCTGGCGGTGCTGTGGTTAAAGTGCTTGGCTGTGAACCAAAAGGTCAGTAGTTCGAACCCACCAGTGGATCCATGGGCGAATGATGTGGCACTCGTAAAGACCCTTGGAAGCCCTGTAGGACAATTCTGTTTCCTTTCGGGTTGCTTTGAGTCAGAATTGACTCAGACAGCAGTGGGGTTTGGGTCTTGAGTGAGCTCAGCATCCCCGTGTATCTTCTGTGCTCAAGTGAACTTAGAGTGCTCTCCCAAACCTTGTTCATGTACAAAACTGATGATTCCCTGTTTACATCTTACATAGGCTCCCTGTTGCTTTCAGGGTAAGATGCTGGAGTTCTTGGTTCACCAGATCGTTCTACTAATTCCTACGCCTCATTAGTCATCATCATCTGTAGCCACCCCTCTTCCACCCCCCCACACACACTCGTGCACATGCATGCACACACAGAGTGTAGTCACATGATACTTAGAGTTCCTAAATACACGAGGTCATTACTGCTTCCTTTGTCCTGAGCCACTCCTGAACCTAAGCACCTTTGAGAGTGACAAGATATGCTGCCAGTAACCATGGCTGCTCAGTAAGTACAGATCCCAGCGTCATTGGAGCTCTTCTCAGTCTTGCAAATTTCTACACCTTAACGGCAGGCACCTTAAGAAACTTTCCCTGAGCTTCTTAGGTTTACTTGTCAGTGCTTCTTCACTGGGGACAATTTTAGCCCCAGGGGACATTTGGCAATGTCAGAGGCATTTTTTTTGTCAACTAGGGAGTGGTGGGGTGCTACTGGCACCTTGTGGTTAGAGACCAGGGTTGCTGCTCATCATTCTGCAATATCCAGTGCAGTCCCTCACAACTAGGAACTGTCAAGCCCCAAATGCCAACAGTGAGGGCACTGAGGAACCCTGGGTGGGGGTGGGGGAAACCCATTCATGTATTCTCCCCTGTGCTTGTCCTTATCATGGTGTCACACAACACTGCCAGACTGAGCAGGTGCCTGGCAGGCAGTGGCAGTGAGCTGCTGCTTCTTGTATCCTCAGTGCCTTGGATGATGTTAAGATCTCGGTCAGCAGTGCCTAGCGGTCGTTAAGTAGATGCTGTCTGAAGGGCAGTGCGCGACATGGAGAACAATGCCTACACTGTCTGCTGAATGAATGAACGAATGAATGGGGACATGGAAGCTGCCCTTCTGTAGGTGAAGGCCCCATTTAGAAACCTGGAACGTCCTTGTGATCCTCACTCTCTTTTCTTGACACCTTCTGCCCTAACATGGCCCCATCCCCACCTTCCCTGTCTCTTCAGTTGTCATGCCCTGCGTAGGGGTGAGGAAGCAGGACCAGAGAGTGTAGAGTAACTTGTTCAGCCTTCCCTTATGACAGCTTGCGTCCTCTTCCAGGCAGAAAGGCCAGCTGGGGTCGTGTGCTGCTACTGATGCAAGAGTCGAAGAAGAAGGGCAACATGTCTGGCTCCCTGCCCTCTGCTTTGATGCCTCCGAATTGCCTCTTCTGAGCCAAATAGGTTGAGACACAGGGCCTTTGAACCTTGAATCCATCAGCTCTGTGAAGTTGTAATCAGTATGTGTCTGTTGTTTGTAGGAGAGGGGTCAGCACTTGCAGTAGAGCCTCTCGGGCCTGCCACTTTGAATCCAAGAACCAGTTCTTCAGCACAGTGGTTCTCAAAGTTGAACCTGCGTCAGCGTTGTGATAGTTACGGTTTTGTGTCAATTTCAAGGGCCTGAATTCTCAGGGTAGCAGTCCCCATGATGAGATCTAATTTGATGTGATCTGATGTGAGCCCTGATCTAGTATAATTACCCATGTGTTAGCCAGCTTCACTTCTCTGATGTTGATGAGGTGGATGCCATGTACAGGAGTAGGTTGCCTCTAGAATTAGTCTGTTTTGATATATAAAAGAGACTAAACAGGGCAAGGGACCTACTACCACCAAGAAAGAAGAGCCAGCAGTGGAGTCCTTCCTCTGGACCTGGGTCCCTGCACTGTGAATTCCTACATTCAAGGAAAGATTGATGTCAGGACTCAAGATTTCCAAGGAATGCTGAAAGGAACCAAGGACCTTTCCCCAGAGTTGGCTCACTGATTACAGATTTCTAGTCTCTTAAACTGTGAGAGAATAAAAGCCATCCACTTGTAGTATTTCTGTTAGAGCAGCCCAGGAGAACTAAGACAAATGTCATCACCCAGAGGGCTTCTTAACACAGCTGGCTGAGCACCAGTCCCCCCATTTCAGATCTGGGCTGAACTAGCAGACCACCAGGGTTGCATAGTAGAGTGAAGAATTCAGCGAGGACGACAGGATTCAGTTATGAATGATTGTTAGTCTAGCTACTGTGATTATAAAAACATGGGCATAAAATGAGTCTTTTAGGCACAGGAGTGAGGCTCTTACTATCATCCGGACAAAAGAGCCAGGAGTGGAGCATGTCCTTTGGACCCCAAACTCCCTGCACATGGAACCTCTTCAAGCCAGGACAGAAAATTGTGACACTGGAGGAGCAGCAGTAGCAAGAGCCAAAGCACAAGACCAAGTTGTGGGCTTTCCAGCCCATGAAACAAATCAAGCTGAGTGACTTTGGACAGGATCCTTGTTTGCAGAATGGAATGCCTCTAGGCATTTAACAGGGGAACTAAGTTTGTTGACTAACCGGAGCTAAAGCTAAGTACCTTCAGGTTGAGGCTTATGGAGGAGTGGTGTGC